TGCTCTCTGCCTGCAGAAAATTCATCGCTGTGCTCACGCAGCAGCTCCCTCCTTTTGCTGGGACCCCTGACGCTGCAACAGCTCTGTCAGAGTCAGCAGAGTGGTGCTGGGTCCCGCCAGCGTGTTGCTGGCTGGGCTCGGTGGGGAATAAGGGGTGCCAGGAGTCTGCTGTTGCTCCTTGTCCTGGCTTTCCTCTCCTCAGAAAGCAAGTACCTCATCCCTTCCCGAGCAGGGATGTAGGGAGAGGGTTCAGGTGATGGGTAGAGGGGTGCTTCAGTGCTGGGACTCTCATCTGTGGGATGTTCTCAAGGCCAGAAGTACTCATGGGTTTGAAGGGATTAGACAGTTCATAGACACTATGAACTGGGATGATTTGGATGCAGATGCTGGCTCCAGAGGTCTTTGAACTCCAGGTTGCCAGAAGGCAAGAGGATAACAAGGCAGGAGGGGCTGCTTGCCAAGCTTTTCATACTATCTTTATTTTCCACTGCAGTATCCACTACAGCCCTCAGTGGTGTCTCCATCCAGCCCTGTACTGACTGGTGCAGCAGCTTTTGTCCGAGGGGTCAGCTGAGCTCCCTGTTTCCCACAGCCTGACTTCCTTTATCATCTCCCTTTCCACTCCATATGGACATTGGTGGTATCTGTACCTCTGCCCTTATCTTGCACCAAGCACCACTGGCAGAAGCTGCCCAGGTCTCTAACGTGCCTGTGAAACCTCCATGGAAATAGAGGGCTCCACAGCTGTCACGAGCTGCCCCAGGGTCGAACTGTGCATGCACCATTGAGCTAAACACAGGTTTCTGCTGTTATTTTTCCCTAAAGGAGTTGCATCTTGCCAGGGCACAGTGGCTACAGCTCTTCCGATTATTACAGCTCCTCTTTCCTCTCCTTCTGCAGCGGCTGTTGTTTAGAGCAGCCCTCGCTGCCTTGGAGCCCCAGGAGCAGATGTGTTCAGAGCTGGAGTCTGGTCCTCCTTCCACCAACCCGAATGTCCAGCGTGTTGTGTTGGAGCTGCAGTGCTATATGGGCCGTGTTACCCTTCTCCAGTTGTGATCTGAATGGGAATAATTGTTTCTTGGTGACTTTTTCACCTGTGGGAGTTCAGACCAGCCAACTTACCAGTTCCTCCTGCCCCTGAGGCTCTGCTGTCTCTGGCTGCCAGCATGACGGTTGATGTCTCTATGGGAGATTATGGAAACCATGGGAAAGCTCATCACAACAGACAGACCCACACAATAAAACTTTGCTTTCCCGGATCCAATGCTGTCAGAGGTTCAAACCACATCCATGGGACACAGTATTTGGCTTCAGTTGCTGCTGTTTAGCTTATTTGCAGCCACTTTTCAAACAAGGCAGCATCTGAGAGAATCTCAAGGGTCTTTGTTCTGGGCTATGCCTGGCACCCACCTGGGTACAGTGAAGGAAGAGAGTACTGGAGCTAGGGCTGAAGGCTGGTTTTGGTGGATTCAGTTCTCATTCATGGGTTGAAGGCTCTGTTTCTATCTCTGCTCATCTTAGCCTGTGCTGACCGAGCCAGACAGCAGTACAGTGTCAGTGGTGTGGCTTGCCTTGCTTCTTTTGTTCTGATGGGTCACCAGTGAGATGTTCTATAGATGACAAGGATTCAGGTCCTCTCCAAAAATAACAGTTTTGTAGGGTGCAGACCTGCACAGAACTGAGTGCTCTCAGCTCTGTTGGAAACACGACATGCTGGATGTCCTCAGCCACAGTCCAGGTCTGACTGGTCTGCAAAGGGACTAACAACTGGGCTGGTGGATGCCTCTTAGACGAAGAGTTACTCCGAAGAGTTACTCCTTGCTGTCTTCCACTTCTACAGTGCACTCCTTTCTGTTTGTTGAAACACTACTTAAGAGCCTGTGTTTCCCAACCAGATCAACTGACTCAGCACCTCCACCCCCAGTAATTTCCTCCTGTTTCATGGCCCAGCCCTACCCAATGCCTCTCTTGTGCAAGGAGGAAAAAATATGCCTTGTGTCATTCTCAGAAGACTGATATAAACTGATTGTAGTAGTGCTGGAGGAGAAGTTGGTCTTGAAGTGCTGGGTCCCATACAGCAAGCAATCTGACAGACCTGGCCTGAAGAGAGGGATTTAGGGCAGCACAGCTGTGCTGAGCACATCTTGGGAAGCAGCCTCCTCTCTGGGCAGGTCCCAGGCCATTAAAGACTTCATGGGTTGAAACCAACCTCTTAAATCAAGCTCGAAAACAGTTGGTGGCCAGCACGGGATGTAGAACTCAGATTTAACATGGCCATAAAAAGAGACACCACTTAATGAGTAGACTGTCGAAACCCACATCAGTCCATGACAGATTTAAGAGTTGCTCTCTGAGCGTTATTGACTGACTGTGTTCTGTGATGGCATTACAGGTTTGTGGAGTTGGCCAGAAAGGTGAAGGATTAGTCAGAGTTTTATTTTAGTTGCTGATTTTTGGCACATGCTGGCTTCTGACTTCCAGAAGCTTTCACATCCCAGGTGTCTGGTAGACCAGCGTGATTTTTAACTGCATGTGGAACTCCACTTGCCTGACCTTGAAATCATAGCCCTAGGGGTTGCCACCACCCTTGGTCATGGCTGGAGCTTTCCACACACTGATATCCCCTTCCTCCAGAGTCTCACTTGTCCACCGCCACTTCTCCCAGTGACCCATGCAGATCTGGTGTGGGGACTATCTCCCACCATGGGTCTGTGGAGAAGGGGCTCTCTGGGCAGAGTGTAGTCATTGGGTGCCCCTTGCCAGTAAGCACATTGCCTAAAGGTAATGCCAGAACTTGATGAAGTAAAATACCAGGTACATTGTGAGCAAAACAATCGTTGCATAAGCATCTACTGAACAACTTTCATAGGCATGTGATGATTTCTGATTCAGTCAGACCTCTCATTCCTGGGTGTTCTTTTATCTGGCCTCAGAACAGATGTGTCAGTTTTTGTCCCTTGGCTTCTTAATTGGGACAACCATTGCCTTAGCACAAATTATCAGTGGCTTTTTTAATTGCAAGAGCTCATGATGATCTTTGCTGTAGAAGCATAAAAGCGGTAAGGGAAGAGATGTTTGTCCAGGAACAAACAGCCTCTGTGTGCAGGGTTGTAAGTCTGAGGGAAACGCTGTTTGAGGCTTGCAAATCACACACGGGCTGGTTATTTCTCTGTGCTGGGTGGATGCTTTGAAAACTTAATCAAGTTTTATAGCTTTAATTTTGTGGCTGACTTCCCTCTTGCCTTTTTTTTTTTTTTTTTTTTTAAAACTATAGCAAATGAGTCCCATTGGGTTATAAAGGGAAAGAATTGGCAAATGGTCTAAAATATTTAGGCTTGCCTAGTGAATGATAGGAAAAAATTACTCTTCCTGCTTCTTGATGCTTCCATAATTTCTGCAAACTCTCTAGGTTTTCCCCACATAGTTAATTAGAAATAGCCAAGGAATAAGATGGAATTGCTGCAGGCTTTAGGTCTCAAGGGTATTTTTTGAGAGTATGTCCTGCCCATGAGCTGAGGTTGTGTTCGCTGTGGTCATATCCTGACCTGCTGTAGCCCATGTAGCAGTGGAGGAGCGAGATTGTCCTCGTTGGGTGCTGGACTTTGATGTGCTGCAGATGCCACCAGCAGCTCTTGATGCTTCTAGTGGGTATTAGGGAACAAGTCTGCACAGCGATAAGGAATAATAAAGTAGTGGGTGAAGCTGGGTGCAAGAGGACCTCCGCGGTTGGGTGAGGTCCTGTTGTTGACAAGACAAGGACAAATTGCACCCTCTTGCCTGAACTGGGAGAAGTGTTGTGTTTGGGAGCTAAGGGAAGGCAAGGTGGATGTGCTCTGGCCGAGCTCCTGCTTTTCTGCTACACTGTTCCCCTCATTCCTGTGGGGAAAACAAGGTCTGGGTTGGGGCTGAGGCTCTCTGGTGTTGATCTGAGCTAGGAAAGCCACCTGGTGCAGCTCAGGACTCATCCTGACCAGTCTGGAGCCGGTGTGGTGCAGGCAGCTGCTCTCCAGGTGCAGAGTGTAGCTCAGATAATCCACTCATGGATAACTGGTAGATTACTCAGCTGGATTTCTAATACAGTGGCCTTTAATAATAATTCCCCTCTAATCCTTAAATCAATGGAAAATGGATTTATCTGTACAAGCTAAATGGCTTGTGTAGGCATTTTAGGGAGAAGAATTCTTGTGTATCTATGTGTGAACATGCACATATATATATATATATATATATATATATGCATATATATAGAGAGAGTGTACTAAAACGCCTTGTTCTGTGATCAAGGTTACCTCACTGTACCCTTGCATTCTCTCATTTGTTTGAGTCTACCTGGAGTGTCTTAACCTAATGTTTAAACCACAAATTCTCTGGGCAGGGAATATTTCCTTGCCCTATGTTTGCGGGCACTTTGAACAACCACCGTCCAAGATCGTGACCTAAGAATTAGCAGACACAAAAATAGAAAGGAAAAAGATAGTAACTGTACAAAAGGCTGAGTAACATCAAGCAGAAGCATTTTGGAATTGGAGAAATGCTGTAGGAGATCTAAATTACATTGACTCTGAATCTTTATTTATTCTTATATTTACCTACTGAGGCTACATGGTAATTATGTGCACTAGTTGAAGCTGGTGGCTGGTAAGCTGAGTTCAAATAGCCTGAACTGAAAAGCAATAAACGAAAGTAAAAGCCATGGGAAGATAAAGCTTTCAGATTTAGTAGATGCAGAAGGGGCTAGCAAGGGTTCTGTGCATGCAAGCCTTTGTTGAAGTTGCTGGTGTGTGAAGAAAGGAAGAGGTCAGGGATTTATGATCAAGTTTAAAAGTTAACAGGAGTGAAACCTACAACAGCACTGCCAGTTTCTAGCAGTATCATTTGAACAACAACATACATTCTGAATGCAAGCCTTTAAGCTGCAGCATTTAGGTGTATAACATCTAAAAAAAT